GCGCTGCTTGGGAGTGTGGCGGCGCTCCCGCCGAGGGTTCGGATCCCACATACAGACTGGTTCCCGCTCACTGGTTGAGCGAGGTGCGGGTGTAGCACCAAGGGTTGTGATCCCGTTGCCGGTCCCGGTCCAGTACGGGCGCGACACTGAGGGTTGCGATCCGTTGTCGGACACGAAAAAAGACAAAAAGAAAAAAAAAAAAAAAAAAAAAAGAAATGCTCCTATCTCTGTCCATGTCTGTCTTAAAATGTGATACAGAGAACTGAATGAGAAACTACAGATGTTGCCTGATCAGTTCAGAGTCCCGTGGGACTGTCTGCTTCTTTATTTAAATGCTTTAATTCTGCTCATTGTGGACCCTAAGATTGGCCTTGGGGGTTTTTGTTGCTTGTATATTTGTTCAGTGGATTTTTACCAGCTGTATCTGCTGCTGACTGATTCTGAGCCTCCCATCAGCTAGAACTCGTGAGCATTTTCACGTGAGCTCCTTTAAGCCCAGTTTCCCCATCCTCTCAAGGAATGCCTGGTTTTTGAACCCAAAAGTAGGAGTTCATATTCATCCTCTTTCAGTTCCAGCAGCCCATTGCTCCTGTGTGTTGGGATTCTGTCATTCTGCTCCTCCCTGCTCCTCCTGGCTTTGTATCACCTGCTATTTCTCATACCTGCTTGCATGCACCTTGCAGTTAAAAATAGTCAAATGAAGGGGCTGAGGACAGAGCCCTGTGGCATACCATGGGAGACTTCCCTCAGAGTTGAACCTGCACCTTTGAATCAGCTCTCCGGGGATAGTTTCTAAAGCATTTTCTGTACTCTGTACGTAGGATTAGATTTTCTACCCAAAGCTATTCTTTATCAAGGATTGTATTTTCATTAACATGTTAGTCCTTTTGGAAACAAGTCCTGTCCCTCCAGCTGAAATGAAAACCCACTCATATCATTGGGATTGGTCCCTGTTGGCCCATGCTGGCAGAGTCCCCAGGTGCCTCTGGAGTTCTGTTTTGTTCATCTCCCCAGGGAGCCTGGCCCTTTCAGGATAAGCTCCCTTCAGCATGATGGGAGGTCTCAGGTTCCCTACAGATTTTTTTTTTGGAAGCCCTCTAACGATCTGAAATATCTCTGTGATATCCCCCAAGGCTGACGTGGAGCTTTGACCTGTCTCTTGCTATACTCTTCCTTTCCGCCTTCATTTTGAAGTCTTCGATTAGCACCTCTATGCTCATGTCACCCAGAACTGCCTTGTCTTGACCCGTAAGCCACTCTGCCCAGCGTTTTCAGCAGCATCCCACAATTGCTGCTTGGTCTCTCCACCATCAGCTCAGCTCAGCTTGCACAAAACCAAACTCATTATCTACCCTTGAATTTTAGGCTAGCTTTCCCTCCCCAACTTTCTATTTCAGTAAACAGAACCACAAGTCTTCTAAATAACCCAGCTTCAAAACTGGAACTTAACTTTGCCTTCTCTTTTCAGGCTATTTATGTAAATAATGATCAGATCATGCTGATCTTTCTTCCCCTGCCCCTCAAGTGGGCCCACTGCTACCATCCCAGGCAGGCCCCATCCCACGTGCCTGAACTTCAACAGCCTCCTGGTTGTCTTCTCAGACCTACAGTATTGCCCCAGAGTGACCATCCTTAGCCACATTGAATCAGTTCACTGCTCAGAAGCCTTAAGTGTCATCCTCTGGCTCCTCAATGATCCGACCTCATCTTACTTTCCAACTACTGCTCCCCAGTACAGACCCTGCCCCTCCTTCAGTTCAGTCCCTTCACTCCTGGTGTTCTTGCTCTTGTGCCCTGCCTCTCCTCTCCTCCAGTACAAAACTTCCTTTAAAGCTAAAATCTGGTCATGGTGAGCCACCACTTGAGTTCCTCCTATGTGTCCTGCTGTCAGATCATTCTGAAGCTCTTTGGTACAGCTGACAAGGTTCCTGGATTTGGCTTCTCCCTGGTGTTCAAGCCCCCTCAGTGGTTCCTCCTGCATTCACTGTATGCACCAGTCATAACCAGCTACTTGACGTTGCACGAATGCACCCTGCCTTCTCATGTCCTCTGGCCTTTGCCCACACCGCCCCCTCTGCCTGCAAAGCCATGCCTCCTTCATTACCTGGGAAACTCCTATGTGAGCTTTAGGACCCAAATCAGGCAATACCTCTTCCATCAGCCTTCCCTGGCCAGGCTAAGCGTCCCACCTCACAGGTGCTCATTTCAGTGACAACACATCTGCTTTGTAATGCATTATCTGTTTACTCCTCTGACTTTGCCACTAAACTGTGAGCTCCTTGAGGTCAAGTTTGATTCTCTTTATTCCCGGCACCTGGCAAGGGGCCTGGCACAAAGCAGACATTCAAACATTTGTTGAATTCATTCATTTATTCACTCAACAAATGCTTGTCGAGCACCTTTCTTGTGCCCGGCACTGCTATAGGTGCTGGTGATATAACAGAGAACAAAATAGACCCCGCTCCTTTATGTCAGTGAGTTTACATTCTACTTTGTTGAATGGCTGGATAAAGGTTTGTATGAATGAATAAGTGCATAAATGAATAAGTAAATGAATGCGTGAAAGAAATGTCAGCCAGGCCCTATTTTAATTTCATACTTAATCAAGTTCTACCTAAAATTTAGTGCGAATGGTTTCGTGTCTATTGGCATGTGTCTTTAATTAGACAGGAAGCTGTCGGTGGCCAGGATGATGGCTTCACTTCTTTGTGTTCCTGTGACCTTGGCTAGCACAGCGCTGGGCAGCCCTAGCGGAGTGAAAGTCTCCTCAATTCCAGAGAGGCCGCTAATAGAGATCCATTTAGCAGACAGAGAAACATAGTCTTAGAGAAGGGAAGTGACTTAGAGTCTGAGGAGCGGGTAGAGACTCTTCTCTTCATCACAAAACCCTTCTTCTCCTAAGATAAGCATGGCAATGGGATCGTGGTCTTCCCCAAAGACTCCCAACCATAAGCCTGTCCTCTTTGGTCTTTACCAATGTAGGTAAATGTTCCCTTGAGTAACAATCCTGTCCCCTATCCACTTGCCCCACTCTGAGGACACCCTTCCCCACAGAATATTCTCAAAATTATTGTGTTCATCCATAAAAGGTCTTCATTTTGCTTCT